TTTGTTATATTCCATGGAATGCTCTTAAGATCCCGATAGCAATGAATACATTAAATGCTTTGACAATAAATACATAAAAAAAGTCCTCTGTGGAAGCCGTAGCACTGTAAAAAGCTAGACCAATTATTTTCACCGGCCCGGCTAAAGTAACTGGATGGCCTACCTGCCTGTCAGCCTTCCATCTGTGCACAAACTTATCTCGTGCCCTCATTGGTCATGTGTGCGTCCGTGTGTGTTGGAGGAGGGGCTCTGTAAGGAAGTCTGAAGGAAGGGGCAGATTTTTTTCGGCTGCATACTTTCAAATTCTAGCGCACTCGAGCTGGTTTCTCCATTCTTACCTACCCTACCTTTAAGTGTTCCTTACTAATACAATCGCACTCTTTACACAGTAGAGAAAAAAACGTCTGACTTGCTCAATAATGGCTGCTTTGTAAAAAATAGACAAAATGAGTTTATTTTTCAGTAAACCTTCACGGATTAAGACTGCTGTATAATGTCATATCAATCAATCAATCAATCAATCAATCAATCAATCAATCAACAACTTTATTAATCCCGAAAGGGGGAATTGGTTATGAGCAGCTTATGTCATGTACACAGGCAGGAACATACAGGAAGAAAGCACACACCCGGGAGCCTGGATGTCGATCATTCCAATTGACACCATAAATAGTTCATAGCATCACAATAAATAAGTAAATAAATGATCAAATGTGTCTTTAGAGCATATCTACGCCCATATGGCAACAGATGATATTCATCTGCAAGAACATGACCTGGAGAGGCCAGAATGCTTTCTGCTTTCCGCAGAATCTGCTGGTTACAAAAGGAGTTTATGTCTCTCTGTTTCACTCCTCAGACTTGTTTTGGTTCTCCGTCCTATTTTGATTTTCTTTCTATTCATTGATTTATCAATCCATCTTGTCTATTGATGTTTCAATCTGTGTAGGAGCTGAACCGAACCTGCAGGGCGATGCAGCAGAGAGTCGTCGAGCTGATTTCACGCGTCTCTAACGAAGAAGTGACTGAGGAGCTGCTGCATGTCAACGACGACCTGAACAACATTTTCCTCCGATACGAGCGGTACGATCAATCAAACACTCAGCCAGACTTACGTTCTATGTCAGAACAAGGGCTGACGTGTCATGCTCGGATTTGTTAGGGTGTCGGGACCAGAACTATGTTTTATATTATCTCTGTTTTCAGTATAATTGTAACCTCTGCAACAGATGTTTTTTGCAATGTGTAACACCTTGGTCCAATATGTTTAATTGATGAATAATGGATGCTCGTTGGTCCTCTTATCGATGGTTTTAAAGAGGTGGCTCCAGCTGTGATTATCCCAAAGCTTACCAGTAAAAACTAAACATTCTGAGGAAAAAACATGCCAAACAGACATTTTTCAAGCTCAAACACTTCAAAGTCGCAAAACATTCCTTTAAAAACATTCCGCAGCTTCAAACTGTTAAAATGTGTCTTTTATGAGGTGAAGATAAAAGATGTTTAAGCGGTTGAACTTCACAGAGCTCGTGGTAAAACATTGAAAGGTGTGTGTGTGTTGCTCACAGGTACGAGAGGTACAGGTCGGGCAGAGCGGCACAGAACAACGGGGTGAGTACCATCAAAGAGAAGAAAGGATTTCCCCCACATTCCCTCATGGATCACTGTTTTGTGTTTGCTTGTTGCATGTTTTCAGAAAAATTCCCACCTCTTTTAATTCATCTGCATTTGCATCACCTGTGGTAGTTTTTCTAAAGATGCTTTGAGGGATGGTTCAAACGGATTTGCTTCACATAGCCATTTGTTGTGCTTGTTTTACCATTTGAGTATTTTAATGTATTATTAATTTTTCTAAAAGCTTACACAACACTTTAGTGCAGTATTCATATGTAATCCTAGTGCATCGCTTTTTTTGCTGTATCAAACCTGGAAGAGCCGAGCAAAAGAAGTGTCAATCTGCTGTTTAGAGCGTGTATTAGGGCTGCTCAATTAATCGTATTTTAATCGCGATTACGATTATGGCTTGCAACGATTACGAAAACAACGTAATCAAAATAAAACGATAATTTTTTTATTATTATTATGAATTTTTTTTTTTTCAGTTGAATTATACTTAAAGTTTTTTTCTCCAATAAATGGATGTTTTCAAAGTCAAAGAATAATCGCATTTAATAATCGCAATTACAATTATTGACCCAAATCATCGAGATAATGATTTTTACCATAATCGAGCAGCCCTAGCGTGTATTCTCCAGGATCAGTGATTCACCAGAGGGTCGGGGCGTCTCCCGCCTCCTCCCATATAGTGCTTGTGTTTGCCTGCTGCTGATCTCTCTGTGCTCTGTCTGTTTGTGGTGTGGCCAGCTGATGGAGGCAAGTACGATGCCAGCACCAGGTTCAATCCCAGCCAGTGTGCTGGAATGAATGTTAAAACGTCTGCTGGACTGCATGGAGCTAATGTTTATACCAGTGTTTCTCAAACTTTCTTCAATAATGTAAACCATTTTTTCAATGGAAAACATTTTCTGGATGTAATGCCATATCACTTGGTATTTGAGTCGCATTGAACTCTTTCTTTTTGATCATTTACAATTTTGTGAGGAATATAAACGTATCTTTTTCTCTGTTTTGCTTTCAACAGTGAATCCATTTTCTGTCTGCCATTCAATATCAAAACTGGATTCCAGGTTGCACAACGAATAGGAATATTGAGTGTACAATGTGGTTTATCAAAGTTATATAAACATTTTTATTTAAATAATTAAAGTATATTTATTTATTTATTTATTTAAGGAACTTGCTGATATTTTCTTCGTGAACTTCTAAAAACTCACGTACCCCTGCGTTACTCCAAAGTAGCCCAAGGGGATCAAATACCCTTTTTTGAGAAACACTAGCATAGAGCAAACAGTAGCTCCGTGTGAAACCAGACTCTATATGTCCTTCCCTTTTCGCCCTGTGTATTCAACCCTCAGTATTGTATCAGTGCATAGCCCTCAATCCACTCCCACTGACCCTCAGTGTTGTCTCAATTTGTGTAAATAGTCAATCCTGTAGGATGTCAGTAGTCTCTGTCTACAAAGGGTAATCGTGATGTAATCTAATTTCCTCCAAAAACTATATATAAATACATACAATAATATTTTTAATCTGTATATTGACATTGTTCATATCCATTCATAATTATTGACGGCCATCTGTCGTCTCCCTTCCACGCCCCGTTTCAGATGTTGAATGAAGCCACGGAGGACAACCTGATCGACCTGGGCCCGGGCTCCCCCGCTGTGGTCACACCCAGGATCAACAGCTCCAGCCCAACACACCGCATCGCAGGGGCCACTGCCTCCCCAGCCCGTAACCCACCTACAGCCTCGCTAACATCTGCAGTAGCGAGTATCGGTTAGTATCATGTTTGTTTTCCTGTGTGGAAAAAAAGAGAATGTGGTTACAGCATAACATTTTTTTTTGCCACTGATGTTGACATTTGGAGGCATAAACATACACAACCATGATTATTTTCTCTGTCCAACTATCATACGCTTACACACTCTCTCACCACAGTTGTAACATCGCTCCTCCCTAGTCTCTGCAGACTTGGCATCGGAAAAGCAGCCGAGTGTAAAAAAGGCTAATAATCTGGCTGCTAATGGGAAATGAGCCCGGCCACATAACTCACGCTTTTCCCTAGAAAGTCTCTGCATGCTATAGTACTCTGGTTAAAGCTTGGATATATTGCTCCTGAATCTTATTTCAAAACCCTCTAACTCTGCGTTCTCCTTCTCCCCCCGCCTCCCTCTGCTCTCCTCTCCCACTGTCCCTCTCCAGATGTGTCTTCAGACAGCGGGAGCCGACCCCCCTCTTCTCTACCGGGCCACAACAAGGATGACTTCGACATGTTTGCCCAGACCAGGACCAGCTCTCTGGCTGATCAGCGCAAAAAGTAGGCCTCCATTTTATTTCGTTTCTGGGGCAGCTAAGATCCTCTCATGTTATTTATTTTTAATTAAAGGGATATTCATAACCACCTTTTAATATTTAAAACAAATTCCACCCATGGGTACTTTTTTGTTCTCTGATGTTCAATGTGCTGAAGTTTAAACATCTTATCTGGTCTCTTAACCTGCTCTGACCACATTGGCTTATTGAATTTGCCAAATTAGTTTCGAAAACCTCCAGGGTAGGGGTGTTTATCTCTATAAAAACGTGTTATTTCTTGCTTCAAATTGAACACACAGGTGGAGCAAATTGAAGCGCTAAATTAAGGGGCAAGAGAGAGAAGTTTCCCAGTTGATAAGAATGCCAAAAAGTGGGCTTGTCTCAACCACACTGCATTGGCTTATTGTCAATTTAGACTACTTTTTCTCCTCAAACTGGGTCTTTCTGCCCCTTTTCTCCAGTCCTGGATTTAGTTTGAATTACTTAAGGTTGTTTTGGGGTTATTGGGGGCTAAGGTGTTATCCCTGCTGACCAAATCTCTCCCCTCCGTCTTTCTGCACTGTACGTCCTAATAAGGACAATATGGCAACACATATTATAAGTATTTTCTTTTTTACCACCTACCTATCTTAACTATGTTTTTTATGTTTTGGCACACAGTGTAAAGTACGAGGACCCTCAGGCTCTGGGCGGCCTTGCCTCAGCTCTGGATGTGAGACAGCAGAATGCAGGCGGGGTGAGTACGCTGATGCATGTCGTTTATTACAGCTTTCACCCATATTTGAAGTGTGGGTGTTGTTTACATGGCTGATGGTGAGCCTTTCCCGATCCACTCTGTCCTCGGCCCTCGGTCACTCCCTGCATGTGATGGTCTGTGATACTGTGTGTTCTGCAGTGACATTCGTCCTGTGTGCAGTGATCCTATATGTAAATATAAGTGAGTGACTGAAAATACTATTTAAATATGACTTCTAGCGTGAATTATCTCGTGACTGAATACACCATACTTTTGATTTCTGTAGTCTTTCTTCCTGTCCGAGCACACACTGCAATATATTTGTATTGTTATCGCCATGTAAACAGACGACTCTGAAATATGAACTGCAATACACTCAAACAGACACAAACAAGCGCACACACACAGTGGGGATTGTGCATTCCTCTTCTAGTTACTTTAGTTACTTTACATTGAGCTTTTTCTCCTTTTTTATTTTCCTCATTTTCATCTTTATGGAATTATCCTTTCCTGTTTTTTTTTTTACGTTCTCCTCTCCTTCTCTCCCACTTTGAAATGAAAGCTGTGTCTTGCACATTTGACCTCTCCTCTGTCTCTCTGCATTGTGAGCTCTGCTGTGGTGGGGCTCGCTACCTTTCTTCTCTTGTGTAAGGTGTTGTTCTGTTGTTGATTCAGCTGAGGGTAGAAGGGGATGATAACCCAGCAGATCAGGAGCTGCCCATAGACAGCTGGCTTATTACCCAAGGAATGGTGAGGACTCCATCCTCAGTGTGTCCTCCTTCCCCCCCCCCCCCCTCGTGTCATCCATCACCCCTGCTCCATAACCCGCATGAGCTGCTTTTATTTCTAGCCTCATCCATACCAGAACAAATATCCTCCTAAGAATCTCTATGACAAGGTTGGGCAATATATGAATCAGAATAAGAAAACCTTTATTTGTCCCTTGACATTTATATGATTACAACAGCAGATAAAGTGAGGAAAGGATTACACAATAAGTAAAAAATGAAAAACAAAACAATATGACGATTAATAATCACCACCTGTTTGGATAAATAGACAGAACTGCTCTAGACGGTGGCAGCAGAAAACATATTAATGCCACCTAAAAATAATCAATATCAGTTTACGTGTTCACTTTTAAGAATATTTGTTCAGCTTTACCGTGCCATGAGACATCTATTTGTGACTAGGAAGTAAAGCCATACTCTGTTCAAATCCACCAGACTCCTTTTAATAAAAACAACAATTTGACCTCGCAGGAAATATTCAAAATGTAGCAGACACTTAAAAACAGACCCTGTTCAAGTGGCTGAAATGTGTTTTTCCTGCCGTCTCCATACAGAAGTTGCTTAACTTTCCTGTCTGATTCTCCAGACTGGACGCGTGATGATGTCATCTATACTGAATGTAAAACCCCATTTCAAACAATCTGAACGATCCCTTTAAGAGATGAACGATTTGTCCTTTAGTGCTGATTATGATTCACTGTTTCCATTAGGGAGCTACTTATTTCACATCTGTTTTTATTAGTTGAATATGGCTATTGCAGGCAATCTTTCTAAATCAATCAACAGACTTTTTCTACTGGGACATTTTGCACGATTTTGGACTCTATTGACATTAAACACCCATAATTGATGCTTCCTACTTTTAATGCCGCCCCTCTATGGTTTGGTTAATGAGCCTGATGGGTCACCAGGAATTGTCATCACCTAGATTCATCTCTTAACACTCACATACTAAAACAGCAGGGAAGTACAGATACTACCGCTACACAGCAAGTTGAATCATTACGATCCCAAACAAGTTATCAAAGGGATGTGTCTTGCTGTGTTTTGAGGGTATTTGTCAGTTGTCTTCTAACTGTCTCTGGATTCTAGATAATACACTAGATATAGCTAACAAGAACCTCACACGTCTCATCTTAACCATAAACACATGAAGTAACTAACAAGTGAATCACTAGTTGTAACACTGTAACAATGGAGTAGCTGTTATGACTGTATATTTGCCTAAAAAAAGATTACACTTTGAACTTCTAGCAGTGTCATTTTTGTGATTTTCACACACTTTTCTACAGCTTTTAATCCCCCTGCATGTATTTTTATTTATTATTTCTCATGGATGACTTCCACTGCCTTGGCTTTTTATTCTGAAACGCTCCTTCATTGCGTAAACTCTGTCTCAAGAGGAAACCCCACCTGTGTTTTTGTAGTCTTTCACCGGGTCAAAGGAAAGCGTTTTTTTCTTTTATTCAACTTTGATATCAGGTCGATGTGGTCACATGATGACTTTGACTTCAACGCATAGGCAGTGAAAGGATGTGGAAGACTTTTGAGTATTGTGTGAACAAAAAGCATCCAAGTAGCTTTCCCAAATGTGTGTTACTCCTCATTGATGGACTTTTTCTTAAGCCACTTTTAAAATGTCCTATTTTTTCAAGCACACAATGCATCACACTTTTCCAGCAGTCTTTATTCACTGTGATCATTTGGTGCACACCCACACCATACACCCTGACATGGCTTCATCACATCATCACAGTTACTTCATGAAATGGTGTGTGTGTGTGTGTGTGTGTGTGTGTGTGTGTGTGTGTGTGTGTGTGTGTGTGTGTGTGTGTGTGTCCACATATGTGTGTGTGCCGTGGGATTACTCTGCCTCTCGACAGTCCCTGTGCTTTAAGCTTTTCCCATCCAATCAATCTCTTAATCACGTTCAAGTGATTCGCTAATTAACTAATGATGTGGAATAATTAACACTGCTGTGTGTGACATCAGTCGGCAGCTGTTAAGCCATGTCAGCATCATGAAACTAATGAGAGCAAAACACAACCTGGGAACTCCTGTTCTCGGGGAAGACAGCTGAGTGGCAGGTTGTTGCTCATGGTGAAACAATACGAGCACAGACTTGAGAGGGGCTGAGTGTGTCTTTTCAGCTATTTCTTTTTATCTCATTTTGAGTTTAATCATATTCTTCCTTTGGTGATTCCAATTCTTGTTATTTTTTTGTGTTTGTGTGTTCCAATTGTCTTTTTGGGTGTCTTTCTGTTGTGTGGCTTTGGTGCTGCCCGTTGGTTTGTCCATGGCTTTGCTCCATAGATCCCAGTACCGCAGTCCTCTGTCATGGATGACATAGAGGAGTGGCTCTGTGCTGACGTGGTGAGATTTCTTTAAGTTGATTTATACGTTTCCCCTTCTTTTTCTCTCTCTTCTGTTCTCCGTTTTGTTTTTCTTGGAGAGCACATTTCATCTCACATCACTGTCTACATTTGACTTTAGTTTCCTTTCACTTGGCATCCTTTCATTCACTGTAATCTAATGTACTTTAACCAATGCTGAATAACAGTTTATCGTGAGGTTGACTGCTAACATAGTGCTAACAATAGTCAAGGGAAAAAGGCTGCTATGAGCTTTGTAAGCGAGCACGTGGAGGTTTTGGAGTTGGGTTTACGGAGGCTACTGGTTGTCGTTGCCTGAGTGGAAGTGTGGAAGAATGCATCATAAGCGACTTTGTATGGATTTGTGTGAACTTGCATTTGACTCGTATGTTACTTCTTGTGTACCAGAAAGCCTGCTGTGTTGCTGACTGAACACAAAGGTTTATCACTGTCTCCTAAAACAAAGAAAACTCCACTCATAAAACCAAAATGTGCATATTATCTAATGGTGTTTTTCTCGTCTCACTAGAAAGGGGATGCTGCTGAGGAAGGGGTGACCAGTGAAGGTATAGAATCACAATTGCGTATATTCAATGAACTCCTTCATGTGTGAAATTGTGTTAATTTCCCCTTTTTTTTTATGAATCTGTTTCTTTCAGAATTCGACAAGTTCCTGGAGGAGCGAGCAATAGCTTCGGACTCCCTGCCGTCTCCCCCGGGAGCTCACCCTTCTCACCCTGCTCGTGCCGCTGATGGCTCCCACAAGAAGGCCGAGCGGACAGAGGACACCCTCTTTGCCTTGTAGACTGTTCTCAGAGACCCTGGATCTCTCTCCGGTGGCCTCTAAAGGTCTTCGTCCTAAATGATCCCTCCGAGACAGTCCCTCCTGTCCCATTTCATCGCTAACTGGCAGTGGGGTAGCAAGCTATCTCCAGCTCCTTGTCATTCTCTTGCCACGGTGTTGCTCTAACATGCAGAGATTGTTTACTGTGCACAACTGTTTTGCGCTTTACTATATATGGATGTATTAACCTGTTACTGTGGGATGTATTACTCGCGGCCCTGCATCTCATTTGTAACACTCCACCAAAGGAAGACAACCTAACTGGTCAGATGTGGTTTTTAAATGTGGTATATTACTGCGAAATGAATGGAAGGGTTCACAGGAGGTCCATGAATTGAGTCAGTACGGAAGCATACAATTGGGATTATATGTTGCTTCACTACATTCAGCTAATTGCTAATGTATGCATTTATTGTTTTAAAGATATGTTCTATGACGTACTACCAGCGCTGTGGTTATGGTTGATCCAGGCATTTTCTTTTCTCTGCAAATACTCCAGTTAGAGCTTTCGTAACGCTTTTAATACTGGATGTGTGGACAGCAACATGTGGTAATATTAACTGAAGCAGTATGGACAAAAAATGTATGTAAGCAGGCTGATCTTAACAAGGGATGTGATAGCTAAACTATATATATAGCTACTCTTGATGAGTGTATGCCAGCATTCCTCTAACCAAAGGAATACAAAACTAAAAATCTAAAAAGCACCAGTTAGGATTCTAATTTAAATGGCTATGGGGATGGAACGTGCCCATTAAGTGTTTCCTATCAAGCTACGATAAATTAGTTGGCTGCTTTTGAACGATTACAACATTTTTTTTTTAGCCATTCCAAAGAATAGTAAGGCTTTAATTAACAACTAGCTCTGAAATGAATCTGTAGAACAGTAATCATGTTCATGTGTTATAGAGGTTAAGGGATCACTAACAGTTATTTCCCCTACTATATTAATGTCTGCACTTTGAAGCAAAAACTGTATTTTGTCCTTTGTGTTTACGAGATGGTTACTATTTTTCTATGCGATGGTAAAAGGTCTTAAGATTGACTTCGTCTTGCACATAACTTTTGTATCTGTAATCGTAGCGCTGTTCACACAGAAGTGGATTGATAGAGGGTTCAATTAATGATTACAAAAACGTATAAGAATAGTAATAATGAGCTAGATGGACAGAATATGGCATCTAAATTAGCAGCTTAGTGGTGGCACCATAATCAACTCACATACAAAATGTATAGCTTACAATATTGCACTATTGAGTATTAAGTGTGTATCCGTATAGAAAGAGCTTAATTTACCCTAAACTATGTAATCGATATACCTCATAATATAGCAATTTGAGTTATAACACATGTATTGGCTTATGGATCGTATCCAGAAGGCAGAGAGGTTTATGTGTCATTCCATCCCCTTATTGTATTTTTTTCTAGTTTATGCAAAAACGTGTTTAGGTCCTTTATCATGTATTTATTTGTGGTTGAGGCTGAAGAAGGCAGCAAACAAACACAATACTTTCTTTGATTTGTGCAGGCAAAGGCAAACTTATTCTTGGTTTCTTTTCATTCAGCATTATTCATCGGCTCCTGTTGTAGCTGCTGCCAAGCATGTCTGATTTCAGCAAAGTATCTCTGACAGGAGTTCCTGTTGTCATTCCAATTTTTTTGCTGAGGCTCTGGTTTGTTTTACTGATGCACTGCACTTGAAAACTTGAACGATTTTATTCCTTTTGTCAATTAAAGACCAAAAGCTTTCTTAAAAAGGGCATCCCACATTTTTAGAAGCTTAATTCCTACATCAACATTACTTGTCAGTAGAGGGAAACATTCCTGATTTCTTATACGTTGTTAACATAATTGCAATGGTGACATTATACAATTCTGTGTCTGCATAATCATTATGTTAAATATTGACATGTATTTTAGTTGAGTAAGATTAATGATTTATGAGCTTTAACTTTTTGTTTAATGCATGTGGTTATACAGGTTTAATATGGTCGCCAGGTAACTGAGATAATAGCGTTACATTTACAATCAACCATTGTGTTCACTTTAAAACAACCTTCTACAATTGCAGGCTGAACGAAGTAGTATTAAAAACGTAACATGAGATCCTTTAAAAGGGAACTTGAGTATTTTTCAGTTTGTGTGTTTAGTATCTCTTGATCTGTAACGGATTGTTTTGTGTAAGTTGCTTTTATGAAGCTTGAGTCCTGATTGCAACATGCATTCCTCTGATTTTTGGCTATCTCAAAATGGTTACTGAATGTCTTTTAATACTAATGAAGCCGATCAATCAGCTGATATTTGTGGACATGGAAGAGAGGCTAGTTTTGTTTCCATGCCAGTGTGGCTGTGCTGTCTGCTGCCATTACTAACGGTCAGACTTTGTTTGACCTAATGCACGTATGTAACTGCCCAATAAAACACTAGCAATGTGTGACCGCTACCTCACAACTGTTTGTGGTTATTTTACAGTAAAAGGTTGCATTTCAAGCATTTTCTCCTTTTCCTACTTCCTCACACACATGCTGATGCAACCCAACCGTAATCTTGCACTGTACTGACCATTCATTGTCACATGAGCCTCCCCACCATCCCCCCCCCCACACTCCCACATGTTGGTTCATGTACATAAGATCCACTCTGTTCAAATAGAATAGCAATAACTTACTTTTGCCTACCCTGTTTACATGAATGGTTTGTTACAATTCTCATTAGATTTACTGAAAAGGAGAAAGACAAAACTAAAAATGAATTGTAATTTTACACAAAAGTCCCTCTATATCATATTTTCTAGTGTTTTGCCTTCGTTTTTACATTTGCTAATCAGCTAACTTTCTAATTAAAAAAATATATATATTCAGTGTATTACACATTCATTTACCTTTCAAAACAATCTCACAAATGGACTCCTACTGTTATTACATCTTGTTTCTCATTTGTTCAAATGTTTGTTTTGGTACACATGTAAATTATTTGAATTTCCCATTGACTGAAGTTTCTCGATCCAGTCTGGAAGCAACTTCATATTGAATTTTTACGTTCATTTGCAAGCACACAAAATCTCTAGATGTGGGAGCATGAGTTATTTAATAATATGTTGGTGGTTGATATTAATCATCTCTTTAAAACTCTTACATCTCTGTACTATAGCATACAAATTGGATTAGTAATTGCTTTGTATCTATATTTCCCACCAAACATATACACTATGAATGGACTTCTAGCAAAGTGGCAGATTTCCCAAATCAAGTGAATAAGACAGCTCCTTTACACAAACACACCCCATCAACAACAATACCAGGCTTGCTGACAGGCTTTTAACATCCCGTCACTGACAACAACTTTGCAGTGCTACTCTAGGTCACTGACCTATTTCCCCACTATGCTTTTGTGGTGTCCCCCTTTTGTTTTCAGTATTTTCACATCATAGCTTTAATTTAGCTGATGGTGATCTATAAATAAAGTGTGCCTTGCCATTTATTTACATCTTTAATAATATGTGCTTGTAGTTTACTTGAAGAAGTGTTCATTTGCAAAGACACATTTGAAGTTTATCTGTACACTGAATCATTGGATTTGGTATTTCATATATATTTCTTAAACAAAAAATGACTTCATTTTGTAATCTCTCAGGTCACCTGTATCCTTCAGGTTATTTCCCCTGCTGATAAAATAGAAACTCATGATGTAATCACTTACCCAGATATGTGATGTCAGATCACCCCACTCGGCTCCTGAGCTTCTCATTGGTCGGTTTCACTGGCTCCACAGGAAGAGCCGCTGGTGCGAGTCAAACAAACTTGCTTTCAGTAGCTCACGCCTGCTTGGCTCTCATTGGCTATTAGGGTCAAGCCCACAATAAACTAAAAACACATCCATGCTGTTTCCCTGAAAATACACAGTGTGCCTGATTTTATATAAAACACATGACATGTAAACAGAGTAGATAACAATGTTATAATACTTTTACAATAGATATGTTTAGGTATTCTGGAGCCAGTATACCAGTGTGTTCTATAACATGCTTATTGATAGGTTAATTTACCCAGGCAAGTACTGTTTACACTTTGGACACAATTGTCCTTTACAATAGTGTCTCCATTATCCAATACGTTATACTTGTATTCCATTGCATCTCAGAAGGAAACAATGTTAGTTTTACTTCAGTAACATTTTGAATCTTGACTTTGACTTGTATATCATTTTTTTTGGATTGTGGCATTTCTATTTTACTAGAGTAATATGTCTTGAATCAATTAGTATTTCTTCCCTCGCTGCATGAGCTCCACATGCTGCTGTCACCTTCAGTCAAATAATCAAAACAATCCTGAGAAACAGGAGACGTGGGAATCTGGTACTCGGGCAGTGATTGGCTGTCAATCACGATCGGGGTGGGTTCTCCAGGCTGCCTCTGTAAGCATGTTAGTACTGAATGAGCTCCAGTGTTTGGCTTTGGTTTGACAAGTTTCCCTGCATGATCATGGGGGTAGGAGTAAGCAGTTAGTTGACACACAATAAAAAAGTTGCAGCTCACGTTGTTTCAGGTAGACTCTGGATCAGACGTTTTGGCAAATGTAGGGACGTGACAAGTGTTTCTCCTCTGAGCGATTCTACAGCCAGTCAAGTCTACATTGGAGCCACACACAAGAGTAAAGATGAACAGCATGTCTTTTGACGATCCTTCGTTGGATAACTTGGATCCAACTCTATCGCTTCATGACCCGAATGATATTGACACGGCTCTCCTAAGCGACATTGATGGTAAGCAACGTGACAGTGTGTGTGCTAGCTAATCCAGTCGTGTTAAGGTTTGCAGCTAAACCAACAACACTGCTCATAAATTAACCTTCTGCATGCTATGTGTGTTTTGTTGGCTTGCATCATGTGTTTTACTCCTAATATGTAATATACATCTCATGTATACGAGTTTAAAGCCCTACCAGTGGTTATTAAATGTTTCAGTTCACAACGTAGCTTTCATCATTAGCTAGACTAGCTTCTATTCAGCTAACTCATTTTATTTAGAGGCTTGCTTCAGTTCTGAGGTGAAAGGCGGTCTTGTTTACATTGTTCTCTTGTACTATCGATTCGGAACGAATGCTATCGTACAATCTTTCTGACCTAATATATGAGAGGGTATTCTAATGCTAGTGGGTGAGGCTAACGTGCAGCTAGGTGGTCGTGCGCCCCGCCCCCAACTCCACAGACAGGGGTTACTGCCGTTCATTCCTCCTTCGTGGGTTCACACCGCCTCGGTTGACCGACTTTACACATGATATGTAGAAAATGTGTCTTAAAAGTATTATTCTTACAATATGCTCCAATGAAACATTTCGTATTCCTGTTTAAACACGTGCTTATTTACAACATTTTCAACTAGTACAAATCTTAATATCAATTGCTTATATGTGTGTCATAGTGATATTCACATTATTTATTGCTATTTTTTTATATTGAAAACTAGTGCAATCTTAATTAATTAAACTATTTATGAATGTGTAATGGTGATATTCTTCCTACACGTTTATTATTTTTTTTATATTGAAAGCTAGTGCAGATCTTAATAAATTCAACTGTTTATGTATGTGTCATAATGGTATTCACATCACTCGTTTGATGTTATATTCAAGAAACCATTGTTTAATTAGCCATTATAATATTGTTTTCCTTGGGATTTTCCAGATATCCAGATGTTATTGTTAAAAGTTATTTGTGAAAGCAACACTGCGTAAACTGTACTCGGTAAACCACATCCTGCAGACCTACTCGTCACCTTCCTAAATTTGACCGACAGTAACCCTGTGTGATTTTGCTCGATGGTAACCTCGTGCGCAGCCACAGACAGCGCTCGCTCTCTTCCCTGTCTTGGGCTGATCGGCATAGCAAGTCCCTGAGACGCGCTCTGATTGGACAAGAGCGATCACCTCATACAAAACAGTGCACTGTAATTCCAGAGAGCTGCGTTTCACTGCAGATACCACATACACGCAGTTTTTATTTTTCAGCTATGTGTGCCACTTCATCAGATCAAATTGGAAGATTATAAAATATTTGGTTAATTTGTCATCTTTCTAGAGTAATACATCTAACAGTGCCTTGAATGCACACATATTATACAGTTTGAACCATTATTATTCAAGCTCATTACTCAATATAGGAAAAATACCTTTTGGATAATTTAAAGATATCTAATGTTCATATGTTCAAGACCAAAATCATGTTACTTTCACAACTATTTTTTCACAATACATGAGTGTTTTCTGCTTATCTTTTGTACTGCCTTCACCCATAACTGCAGCAATATAATAATAGTATGACTGCACACAGGGGTTGAAATCTGTTGCTTGGGTGGTCTTTTGTGCACAGTTTTGTTATGTTTTTACTCTGTCAGCATTTATTATTTGTAATTGATGCTTGCATTAGTTTGTTTTTTTATACAGTGATTAAAGCATTTTGCAAATGTACTATTTTATTCTGTAGCTTTCTTATGAGGGCTCTCTCCCTTTCTTATATAGTTAATGCTGTAAACATGTATGCAAATATTGGTTTAGAACCAATTTGCAACAGAAACATATTGCAAGTCAGTGGCAGTGTTGATAGTTGTGAATTTGTCTCTCTCTTCAGACATGCTACAGCTCATCAACAACCAGGACATGGAGTTTGGAGGACTGTTTGATAACCCCCCATACACAGTGCCCCCTCCCGCCCAAGAGCTTCCTGGATTGACCCAGTCTATCATCTTACCTTCCCCTCCAACCACCACCACCACTTCTGTACCTCCACCTCCCTCCTCCATCCTAAGCAGTAGCCCCCACCTGGATGCACTCCTGGGCCCTCCCATCACCCGCAGCTCCTCCACTCCAGACAAGGCCTTCCAGCCTCCCACCTTTCAGCTGTCCCCCCTGGCCAAGGTACCCAACTCCACACTAAGGCTTCAGCCGGCCTCCCCCCCACAGGCCCAGGCCCTCAGACAGCCCCAGGTGGAGCAGCCACAACCCATTCTCAGCCCTTCGGCCCCGGCAAAGGCAGCTTCACCTCATGGATCACCAACACCAAACCCAGCTTTCACCTCCACGCCCCAGGCCATCTTCACTGCGCCAGCCCCCACATCTCCACCTCCACCCCAGCCCCTGCCTCAGCTTCAGCCTCAGCCCCAGCAGCAGGCACTTCATAACCAGCCTCAGTCCCAACAGATCCTGATCAACTACAGCACCGTGAACAGCTACACAAGTAAGCACTGTTTAATCATCAGGGTTTATTGCAGTGCTAAGAGGAGCTTCTATTTCGTTAGGGACATTTTTAGGACATACTTGGATCAGCAGTTTCAGTTTTTAGACAATGCTTAATTTTTGGGTTTTTAGCTTTTGAATGTGGTGCAAATGTAAAGTGAAGACATTTTCCAAAATAATCATAAATGACACCCTAATGCAGTGGCTCTCAAACTTTTTCTGTCAGGCCCCCCCAACACAAATAGTCACGTAATGGGCCAAGTTAACATTTATTAAAATACATCAATATGAACGTGAGCATTCCTTACTGCTAGAACAGTGATAATAAAACAATGCTCCATAGTTCTGTGTGCTCAAAAATAAATACATAATACAATTGTGCAATCCCTTTGCTAGAAGAATTAGTTATAATACTTTGCCACTTTGCAAAGAAAATGCTGATATTTGGCAAAAAAGTGTGTCTTATCACAGCATTAGTGGCTGCAATGAGCCTGTTTTGCACTGCACATTTCTTCAAAACGGGGTTGCAGGCTCAGTGGCGGCGCCAGAGATTTCTTTTGGGGATGCTGTGGGGTAGCTTGACGTTTCATAGAGGGTGCTCGAACATTTAGGGTTTCCCATTAATGTACCGGGCGCTACAGTGGAATTTTCTACTGCAACGGCGCGTTCACACCGGAGTACTTTTCCCCGTACTTTTCCCGGTACTTTTCCCGTTTAGTTCCGTTAGTACCCCTTAACGTCGCAATCACACCAAAAAGAGTACTTAGTGCCAGGAAGTTTTACCCCCATTTTGAGTGCCTGCTAAAAAAAAGTACCAAAAAAGTACCTATTTCTATTGGCTGGGCGAATTGCAAACCACGCCCCGTAAAACTCTGAAAAGTTTTTTGAAGCCGCCATTGTATTTGCTGGCATTAGCATTTATTAGTATTAGCATTAGCTCCGCGCACCAACGGAGAGAGAATAACTTATGGCAACACAAAAAAAAACATGGGAGCGGTGGATTGATGAGGAGGTGTCGGCGTTCTGGCGATTTACTCCGAAAAGTCCCCAACTCCGGGGACTTCCGGCCGGGGACTTCGGGTGGCAGTATACGCCGTGAAGTGGTTTGCGGCCTGCCAGTAAACCCAAAGCAGAAGAAGACGAAGTGACGTCAGCGGCTCATTTGCGTAATCTTCCCTCAGGGAAAAGTACTCCGGTGTGAACGCGATTGGTACTTAGTGCCCTGGGGTACTAAATGCCGGGGCGCTAAGTGCCGGCACTAAGTACGGCAAAGTACTTGGTGTGAAAGCGGCTAATCCCCACGCAAATACACAGTGTACCCGCGACTGTTACAAGAAAGCTCGATAATCAGCTCACGGCATATAAGTGTAAGCAGGGGTAAAGTGCTATTTTTATAGGTGGTGTGTGGACCTCACATAGGGTCGTTCGCTCACGCACGCACACAAAATGGCTCGTTCCACACACACAGAGCCAAGCTTGAATGAAACACAGAGACCCAGACGTAATTGTACTGTACTGTATCCTATTATTTTCGAATCAATAATTTTTTTAATTATGTTTTTTTTTTTTTTTTTAAATAACCTTTTTTCCTCCTGGTCTCTCGCGCCCCCCGTCATGCCTCTGCGCCCACCAGGGGGGGCGCGCCCCCCACTTTGAGAAACACTGCCACTGCCCAGCAAAGTGTATTGCATTTATAATGGGCACTAGGTCATTCAACCTTAACTGAATCTATCCAATTCCTAATCTTTTAGACTTTGCTCTGCGGTGTGACAGTCTGCGAGCTAAATAAAAATGCTTTGTAGTAAAATAAACATTCTTTTTATAATGTCTTGGATGCAATAAATGTTTATTACTATTTTTTAAAACTCCACGTTTGTCCTACTGACAGGTCATTGTAAATTCCAACCCAGATAGAGCTGATAAGAAACAAAACACACTGAATGCTGCTGACACTTACTTCCAGTGGGATTGTATTTCACCTATTGACCGAGAAATCCAGGACAATAATGTTGTGCCAAGTGTAATAGAGTTGCATTTAAAACCAATAATAACAAGTATTTCTTTCTATCTGATTAATAGTAGCTAATAAAATATTGTAAGGATGTAACAGGTGAAAGGTCATTTAAGATTCAAAGATCATAAAAAGATTTCACAATGTGCCACATCACAGGAGTACAAATACTAGATTTAAATCTGATATATATCAACTTCATCTGAGTTAATATTTAAAGATTGCGCTTAAAGCAGAAATAAGATAAAGCCATCCACTGATGCAATGTAATGATTGGTATTTTCTTTATTTTTGTATGATTTTCAACTGCAAAAAGTTAAAGTAGAGGTTTGTTGTTTGAGTACTGGAATCTGACTGTTCAAAAATATGTATATTGTAAGGATATAGGATATAGGGGGTTCACTGTAGAACTACATTAGAACTTTGAATTGCATTATCAAGTTTCTAAAAGGCATGTTATAAAATGTGGATATTGCATACAATTATACATCCTTGAATGAAGGTTAAAATAATATTTTGCAACTATTTTCCAGCTGCCAGTCCCAGCAGTGTGAGCCAACCCACCGCAATCCTGTCATCCTCGCCTCCAAGTGTTCAGCCAATGACCATCCAGGCTCAGCTCCAAGGGCTGACCACCACGTCTCCCCTCGTGGCCACGTCAGTGAGCCCGCCGCTGCAAACCATCGCACCCAACGTACAGCAAGTACAGCAAGTACAGCAAGTGCAGCAAGTGCAGCAAGTGCAGCAAGTGCAGCAAATGCAGCAAATGCAGCAAGTACCTGTAAGTGTTTCAGACTGGCACCTGAATGTACTTCTACATGCAAATCAAATTCAGTGTACTCATTGTTTGTGTTTTACGGAGCCAAGAGCAGAACTGTGTATCCATACTGATATTTTGTCTATTTTGTGTGTGTATCTTTTCAGGTGTTGCTGCAGCCGCAGTTCATCAAGGCGGAGTCTCTGCTGCTGACCACTATGGCTTCGTCCACCTCCCTGTCCAGTACCACCCCAGTACAGAGCACTTCACTGCAGGTAGGCACATCAAATGCAACCCTGACTTCATAGAATAATCAAAATGTGATTTACTGTGCATACTTTATGGAACTGTCTTTCTCAATTTTTAGCGGTCTTTGCCCTTCCAGGCCTTTATGGGCGGAGGCACCATCCTGACCACGCTGCCAGTCATGATGGACACTGATAAGATGCCCATTAACCGCATCGCCATCAGCGGCAAGCCGTTTGGCGTGCCACACAAGGGAGAGAAGCGCACAGCCCACAATGCAATTGAGAAGCGTTACCGCTCCTCTATTAATGACAAAATTCTCGAGCTCAAAGATCTGGTGGCTGGTTCCGAGGCCAAGGTAAGAAGGATATTTATCTGCATTACAATATATCCTTGTCAAAGAAAAATCTGTCAATCATCATCATTGAAAAGAGGAAGAAGCTTATAATGTGATGTTTCTTCTTTCTTGTAGCTCAATAAGTCTGCAGTGCTGAGGAAAACCCTCGACTACATCCGTTTCCTGCAGTCGACCAACCAGAAGCTCAAACAGGAGAACATGGCGTTTAAAATGGCAGCCCAGAAAAACAGTACGTGCTTAAAACCTGTCGCTCTTCTTTATTCCATAACGGGTCTCTACAATTCATTTCTATTTCTTGAAGTCATTCAGTTGACCTTTTGTGATGAGGTCTTAGTTAGCTACTGTTATCCTGAATTGACAGCAATGGAAACAGTCCTCTACAGCGTCTGAGTAGATGAAATTGAGTGTTGAAGATGTCTTTACTTTTGCCCCGCTGATTGACCTTCTAACTATTCGCCGCGTCTTTCCTTTCTTCAGAGTCTCTCAAGGACCTGGTTGCCATGGAGGTCGATACACCGGCTGATGTGAAGAATGAGCTGCCCACCCCACCTGCTTCCGACGTGGGCTCCCCCACCTCTTTCTCTCACTGTAGCAGTGACTCAGAGCCCGACAGTCCGATGGTGGAGGACACTAAGGTATTAAAGCTTTGCATGATTCATGCCGTATTTAGAATCAGGGCCATCACCGTTGTACTTCATAAACAGAATAAAATATGACGTTACAGTCTCTGTCAATCATTATGTTTTGCTTATATAAATGTATCTCTCTTGTCTCTCTTCAACTCAGCAGCCTACTGTGGGCATCGTGGACAAATCCGCAGCAGGAGGCAGCGCTGGTGGCATGTTGGACCGTTCCCGCATGGCGTTGTGCGCCTTCACCTTCCTCTTCCTCTCTCTCAACCCTCTGGCTGCCCTGCTCTGCGCATCCGGCAGCAGCTCAGCTGGAAGCTCAGCAGCCACACCTCACACAGGAAGGAGCGTCCTGGGTGTGGATATCGCAGGTAGAACGAAGTCAGTAGAGAGTCACAGAAATGAGCTGCTCAGAGATTTAAGGGCCCTGACTTCATGTTAGGGCTGCTCAATTAATCGTATTTTAATCGCAATTAGGATGTTGGCTTGCAACGATTATGAAAACAACATAATCGAAATAAAATGATTATCTTTATTTTTATTTTTTATTTATTTATTTTTATTTAAAAAAAA